GGTTGCACAGGATTTCTCCGTACAGCTCTAAACATTTTAATGCCTTTCAGAGCAGTGCATTCACGTGAAAAATATTTATGTGGTAACAAAAACAAAATATAATAACTAATTGAATGTGAAATGTGACTGTAGACAATTTCATTAGACATACATTTCTATAGTTTGTGTAAGAAGAATCCAAGCACGCGTATACCAGGTGCCAATTATAACGTATATGTAAATGGTCCCTGGAGCACATACTAACATTATGAATGAGTATAAATTAGAATTAACGTTATAAAAAAATTTTAATTACAAATATAATATTTTTCTTTATTTGTCTTAACATAAAGTTCTTATAATATGTTGATCTATTTTAAATATTATTCAATTCCTATTATTAGCTCACTGTATCCTTTTAATTATTTATTTATATACATATTTAAATCTTGTTCAAATTTTCTCTCAATCGTTAATCAAATATACTTTCTATTCATTCAAATAAATTTTTTTAGCTGTAGTGGCCGACAGTTGATGTTCATGCGTGTTTTTTTCACAAATATTAATTCATTCATTAAATTAAATTAATTACCGGTTTTAAACGCCAAATTAGATTCCTCATTGTTGTAACAATGTAACTGTTAAAACAATGACAAAAGTTGGCTTCGAAGACCGGTTTTTCAGCCAAACTAGCCAAACCGGGTGTGCATTGTTACAACAATGCATACAAGTCATGATCTTTTTTTTCAATTCCTACTATTGGTTCACCCTCACCCTGTATATATCTTGTTTAAATTTTCAATTGTTAATAAAATACTTTCTATTCATCCATTCAAAGTAGGAATTGACTTTAAAAACATTTTTTTATATTACTTGTTTTATGATATTTTCTCCTAAGAGAGAGAGAGAGAGAGAGTTGGGTTTTCCCAGAACATTTTATAATTCTAAGGGTTCAATGAGTTAAAAAAAAGTTTTAGGATCACTGCATTAAGACAATGGCTCTTAAATTTTGATCGCCATTGCCCCCTTTATGTATCAGCCTGAAATCGCGGCCACCTATAATTTAGAATTTAGGTTCCTGAATAATCTTAAGTCCGCCTCTGCTACTTATACAAGCTTTTTTTAACACTTCTGTTCTTTTTCCTTTAAGAAAACAGTAAATATCTAACTCTATATATGTATTTGAAAACATTTTTTTTTCAAATAAATAAATAATACGGGCGCCATTCGATTAGGAAATCGAGATGGATGCAATCGTTATCGTATTGGTGCGCTAGGGAAATTCAGTTTTTAGAATCGTTGCACGTGGGTTTCTTCTACATACTTGTTGAAAATATCATACATTTTGCTAATGGCTATGGAGTGACAAACACAATTAAAAAAACCTGAATTAATATTCCTGATCGAAATACATATTCTACTAAATATTTTTATTGTGGACAATGTAGTGATCTTGTCTAGGATGATACATCTTTCAATTTTTCCCCGAGGTCTCTAAAAGAGAAAAATCTTAAAATTAGATGAGACACCTTCGTGGATCCACGGACCGCAGTTTAAGAAGCACTACGTTAAGGTAACCGACGACGTTCGGAACCGTGATTTTGCAAAAGCGTACAAAAGAATATTTCTTTTCTAATATTTAGTGTCACTTTGATTAGAATACACGTATAAAATTGTTTTTGAATTGCAATAAGAAATTCATTTACATGCATTTTTGGCAAAAAATGAACATAGAACTATTTCAAAACATTCTCCTTTTATGAAAAAGGCTTCTATAATAATAAAAATATTTTGCCTCTATTTGCCTCCAAAGAGCTTGAGCTAGGATTTTTGAAAAATACACATTATTTTTAGAGTTACTACCAATTTAAATAATAATCGGTGTTTTTTTTTGCTAAAATTTGTTCTTTTTAAGGTATTAAAGTATAGATGGGTCCACTTCTAAGTTATGTATTTAAAAATTCTTATTTTTGGCTGTGTAGAGAGGTCTGAGCTATTTTTAGGCAAAATGTCCTTATTATCGAAGCATTTTTCACAAAACAGTGCCTCTCAAACTTTCAATATTTGTGACCCCTTCCTATACAATAAATCCTATTTTTATATACGAGGTCGATTCAATCTAATTTTCATCGCCTCCCTACAATAGCAATGGATTCAATACTTTTACGCCAAAGCTACGGTCAGACCTCAATACGTCACCGGCGCACAGAAATGTGCCGCTCCGCCAAAGCTTTGTTTTCCGTAGACTGACCTTTTCTGTGCACTCCTATCCATAAAATCATTCAGAAATGCAATAAAAGAACCTTGAGAGTGTTTGAGAAGGATGTACTTATTTATTCCTCCCCCCCCCTGCAATACACCCCATCCTAAAAGCCAAGGGGGGGGGGAGCGATTCACAACTTTCGATTCATTATAAACCCTACAAAATATCAATTATTAATTTTTGTATACAATATTACATATATTAAGACCATGGGGTCTACTGGGTCCTAACTTAGTATTGTTAAATGAATTATAAAATACGTTCTGCAGTACTGATATATTTATAAGGGTATTATATCAGTGCAAATGTGTATTTTACTTTTATTATGTATTTTTTGTTTTTTTACTTTCAGTGAATTAAGAAAAATGTTTCTTTTTTCGAATTTGCGATACGCCCCCCCTCGTAGCTCCCCAAGGGAGGCGCGCCCCACAGTTTGAGAAACTGACACAAGAGAAGAAAGCTTCTATTTCTATGTCTTTTGCCGAAATATCGCATTTAAGTAATTTTTTATTGTCATAAAATATTTCGAAAACAATTTTATACATGTATTCTAATTTAAGAGGCACTAAATAGTCGTTTCTGCGCTTTTGCAAAATCCGGGTTCAGAACGTCGTCGGATACCTCAAAAAACATATTAATTTTAATGAATAAGATAGAGTTAAAAAAGTGTGCTCACAAGCGAATGTTTTTATTTTGCCTCTTTATTAATGTAGTATTCCTACCTTACTTTAATTCGCATTTATTCCAATTTCCTTTTCTTTCTTTTTCTTTCATTGTTCAGTTTATTCTTTCCACACAAATAGTTAACTCCATTCTTCGACAACAACTTTCATTTTCAATTTTTGATCTTTTCATCTCTTTATTATTAAAAAATAATTTTTTTCGAAAATCCATAAATCATTTAAAGTTCGTGAAATGGACGAAAGCAGATATTGTCATCCTGAATGCCAAAGCTGGTCCCTCTATCAATCCAACTTCTACATCCAAGTCTTTTTCAATTGAACGTGTTATAAGTTCAGAAGCGTATCAATGATACGGGGCCCCCAAGCTACAGGGGCCCCAACATGTGTAACTACAGTACCACTATCAGAGTTTTCTTTTCTAAAAAAGGGCCCCAAAGGAGTTTTGTGACGGGGCCGAATCAGTGAATAAGATGCAGCTTCATCTTGATGGGGGCATTATCATTCTTCTGAAGGGATTTACTACTTCACCTAATTTAAGCCCTTTTTTAAGAAAATGGGGTTTCAAAGAGGAATAAGACATTCTCCAGTGTTTTATTTAAAATAAATCTTCAACTTTCATTTTATATGTCGGCTCAATGGCTTAAATCAGTGGTGTTCAAACTTTTTCAACTCACGGAACCCCTAAAACTTGAAAGTACAGTCGGACCTCTATATAACCAAGTCGCTAAATCCCGAAAAAAAGTTCGTTATATACATGTTCATCTTTCAATTTTCTTTATAAACCACACAAAACAAATTAAAAATTCATAAACACTATATATTAAAAAAAGTAATTATTCACATATTCGATTTATTTTACATATCTTACTTATCAAATTGAAAAAAAAAAAAAACTACAAGGAAAGTTTCTTGGCACCTTTATCCATTTCCTGAAGAATTAATTTTTTTATTTGATACTCAAGAACTTACATTTTGACATTTTCGAGCAAAAAGAAACGAAATTACTTGTACGCCTGATCTACACTTCAAATGAACGGAGACTAATTCAAAAATAAGAGACAACTCCACTGAAGATGTTTCCAGTGAACTGGACAATGGATATTAAAGGTTTCCCTTCTCGAATGAAATGCGCAGAATTCTATTGTCTCAGTGACTTAGCCACCTAATAAAGCCAGTTCAAGGTTTATGACCTCCATAAAATGTGCTACCAGAGAATAACTCGAAATGTCCAGATATACTTCAAAAATAGGGAGAAAAAAAATAGAATCATAAGAGAAAAGGTTCGTTCTATAGAAAATGCACTTCGCTATTGGGAGGTTATTTTACGAAGAAAATCGTGAAATGTTCTAGGAAAAAATTCGCTACATAGAAATTGTAAGGAAAATTACTTTCTATATTTTGCCACTTAATAGTGTGGTTGGTTGCCAGCTGAAGTGTCATCCTCGTTTGCTTGACTAAGGCTTAAAATTACGAGGTCCGTCGACAATAGTTTTTGTATTGCTTTAGAATGCGGCATTAATATAACTGTCCCTCAGGGAACTAGTTTCACAGATTTTTCGAATTTGAGAATTTATTTAAAAGCTTACGAAAATTAAGTTTGGCATTTCAGTGTAGGGTATTATGGAATTCCATTTATCTATATTATTAAGTAAATTTTACTGGGTTTTGATAAAAAAAAATATCTCTGAAATCATCAACTATTGCAAGAAATTATAACTTGAGAAAAAGAATAAAATTCATTTTGTTTTTATAAAAAAAAGTTATTTTTCAAAAAATGATAAAAGGATTGTAATGTGAAATAGGGGGTTTTAACCACTGGAAAACCAACTAACATTTCACAAAACGGAGTTATTCACTCTCTCCTTATATATCTTGTTCAAATTTCCAATCGTTAATATAAAATACTTTCTATTTATCCATTCACATTCATTTTTTAAAACTTGTAGTGGCGGACACTTGATGTTAATACAGTTTTTTCAAATAATCCTTCATTAATTAAATTAAAAAATGAATAAATAGTAACAAACAAACACAATAGTTCAACAATATATATAGAAAGGAAAATCGTCCTTTATGTCCTTGCTGCGCAATAGATAGCGCGTTGGACTTATAATCGAAAGGTCACGGGTTCAGGTGCCGCCTGGGATGGTCTAATTTTTGAGAATGTGATTTCTTTTTCACTATTCTATTTTATTAGAATAATTAAATTTGATCAATGAATAAATAGTAACAGACCCAAAAAAAGTAGTCCAACACCTTATATAGAGAGTTAAATGGAAAATAGCAAGGGAAATCGCTTTTTGTTTTGCCACTTAATAGTGGGGTTCTGTCCTATGTCTATACATATTTATATTAATTGTAACTATTTAATAAAAAGTAGCTAAAATAAAAGTTTTCTTTGTTAATCTAAATAAGAATTGACTTAATTTTTCTAATGTTCCTTGTGTTTAACTATAAAAGTCATATTTTTAAGAATACGCGAATGTTCTTTTTTTTTTTTTGGCATTTTGGTTGCAACAAGCGGTCAACTGCGATACATCATGAGAGTCTATATATTTTTAGTAGTTCAAGGTTTCCTCTCTCATTAGCAGTTACAAAGAAAGCCAAAACCTCAGTATTCCACATATTATCCAACTATCCCATACTGCCCGATTCTCATCTCTCTCTTCTTTTTTTTTGAAAACTTTAATTATAGTCTCCTTTTATATATATGTAAAATAAATAAATTTTTATATGAAAGTACATTATTGGGATGTTGTATCATAAAAAATGAAACTAACTTTTGTGCGTTGAATCAATTTTTTTAAAAAAATTAGCGGAAACGCAATTTGTTAATGGAATATCAAAAAACAAGGATTCTGAAATAAAGATACAAATCCTATGCTTAATTCCTAATTTGTGAAGGGAGGAAATTGAACACTACACGAGTAGGACTTTCCAATACTGAAATCGCTTGATTGCTCATGACGCACCTATTCCAACTAAACAACTTGAATTTAGTGTCACTTAGATTAGAATACACGTATAAATTTTTTTTAGTATATTATTCTAATAAAAAATTATTTAAATGTAGTATTTTGGCAAAAAATGAAAATAGAATTATCTATTTCCAAAACATTCTCCTTTTATAATAAATGCTTCAATAATAATGATATTTGGCTTGCACAGGGTGGTCCCGAATTCATGGTGCAAACTTTAAGAGTAGATACAGGACATGATAGCAACTGTTTATTGTATAGGAATGTAGGGGGCAGGTGAGGCACAAACACAAAAAAAGAGATGAAAGTAAGTTCCAAGTGTTTATTGAAAGCGTCGTTGACAAGTGTAATGTTTACAAAAACTCTTCAGCACATGAGCTATGAAGTCCAGCTGCAGCGCTCATTGGCCATCAAAGGTAGTGTGCCGGACTCCAACCTTATACTCCCTGGAAATGGAAGAGGTGTATGCGATCTTCATTTAACTCTCTGCAAATGGTCTGACGGCTAACAATTACAGGACGAGCAACAGCTCTTGTACTTGACTCTGGTCTAACAACTGCAATGCTCAAAATATATTCTTCCAGGCTTGGACTAGGTACAACTCATCGCCGATCAGCATCAGTGACGTGGAAACAGGGGCGGCTGTAGAGCCCGACAAATCGGACCGCTGCCCGGGGCGCAAATTTTAAGAGCGGCATTTGGATCAAATTTGAAATATATATATATATACACTGCTAGACAATTGCTAAGGACGGATAACACTATCATCCATAGCAACCACAAAATGAAAGGAAGCAAAATGTGGAAAATTAGAATAAGTGCGGGATATTAGTAAGAAGAAGTATGAGTATGCAAATTTTTTTTCCACGTCTGTTCATCACGTGATAGCGTTCATAAGAGCTTTAAAGGTTTCGACGTGTGTGGACAGTTGTTGTTTCAAGTCAAAGTTTTACAGGAAAGATTTAATAGACGAACTTAAAAACTTTGGCATGTCTTCCCGACATCACATAGATGATTTTATGCGTGGCCGAATTATTGGAAAGATCGAAGAAGGGCGAAAAATAACAGATGTTGCACGGGAGTTCGACATCGCTTACAGCGTTGTTTCACGGCTGTGGAAGTCATTTAAAACTACTGGAATGTGTAGTAGACGGCACGGGGGAGGTCGTGTTAGAAGTACGACGCCTGAAGAAGACCGATATATCGTCCTATCAGCAAAAAGGAACAGGCGCACCACAGCTCAGCAGGTGGCAAATCAGTTTCTTGCTGCCTCAGGAAAGCAGATCTCCCGAAAAACTGTTGCCAGACGTTTGAGAGGAGGAGAACTATACGCACGCAGACCTGTTGTGTGTGTCCCATTGACCAGACACCACCGTACTGCCCGTTTGCAATGGTGTCGTGAGCATCACAATTGGACTGAACAGGACTTGGCATGCGTACTATTCTCAGATGAGAGTAGGTTCAGTCTGTCATCGGATTGTAGACGCCAACTGATCTGGCACGAGAGTGGTACTACTTATCGTCCAGAAAATATCCAGGAAAAGGACCGATATCCGACATGCAGTATCATGGTGTGAGCCGGCATCATGATCGATGA